GGAAGGAATACCAATATACAAGTACTGATAGCCTATCGAAGCAATCGCTGCTTAAATATAATAAAACTAAATGGCGTATATTTATATTTTATAGTAGAGCAGTACCCGCGGCTTCACTCGCGTTAAAAATTCCGATCGCTACCGAACTTCACAGGATCACACGCTAGGCTAATCTGAAGCTCATCAAAATCACTCCAGTTGTTTTAGAGCCCATAGAGTGATAAAGAGCGACACAAAGCTACATTACGTACCTACATAAAGCACATAGCTACATAAAGAGATACACATATCGATTTTCATATATATAGATATATACCCAGTTATCATTAATAAGCTACATGAATAACTTACATATGAAATGTTTGCATAATCTATACTAATATTATCAAGAGGTAAAGTTTGTGAATATGTGATTTTTGAGTTTGTGAGTTTGTGACGTTGTAGGGGATAATCTCTGGATCTACTGGACCGATTTTGATGAAATTTGGTAGGAAGATAGTTTGAGAGCCTAGAAAGGACATAGGATACATTTTATCCTAGAAATCATCCCTTAAGGGGGTGAAAATGGGGATGAAATTTTGTATGGGGAACTAAGCTAGGGACGAACCCGAGCGAAGCGAGGGTGAGTCGCTAGTATAATATAGGTATATATAATAGTTCTTACTGATTCTATCGTTTTTTAGTATTTCTCTAAATTCTATATTCTAAAGGAATATAGAACTTGAAGAGACCCCACGGAAATTGCCTTTTTCAATCTATATGTGTGTCAACCCTTATTACCGTTAACCTAATTACAACCACTTAAACATATTAAAAGTAAGTAATTAACTTACTAAAAAAACTCAATTCTCAGTCATTGTAATCCTTGTCTGTATGAAACATTGGCGACTCACTATACATATACCTATCATAAATATATTATTATGCGATTATTTATTAAAATATGAATTTTTTATTTGGCTATCGCTTCCGCATATTAATGAGCCTTTTTGGGTTTATTTGTTACTTCCATATGTCTGTCTATACATCATTGTTATAAATGTTTATTACCTTGAAAATATGAACTATTAAAATTTTTCCTTTCAATGAGAACTTGAAATAATTTGAATTGTAAATATGAAAAGCTTGAATAGTGTCGTATCAGAGGGCTTATTCGACTTGACATCCGGTAATGACTTGTACAAAATTATGTAAATACGAGTAAAAATACGTATAACGAGCTTTTAAAGTCACTACATCGTTAAATTAGTTAATTTTAGTTAATTTATCTACCTACGAGTTTACATATGTATATTGTATAGTGTATTGTAGGCAAATGAAGATAATCATGTCGTAAGTTATCACAAATCGATTATTATATCAACCAACTTGAATTATATTTTATACAATAAAATTCACTTACTTTCTTAAAAATCCTCTTGTACAGCAAAATTGTATTATAATATAACGTTGTATGTATGTTCTTTGTTATTTGAAACATAAAGTTCGGATTTATACTCGTACTAATAAGTAATATTATAAATGCGAAAGTTTGTGAGGATGTCTAGGTGTCTGGATATATTATATATACATATATGTATGAATTTTTGTTACTCTTTGACGCAAAAACTTCTAAATGGATTTTAGAGAAACTTTACTTGTTATCCCGGAAAAATGTACGGTTCCCGTGGGATAGATTTGTTTTTTTTTCTAGAAGTTAGTCCGCTAGTATATTATATTTTACCATAATGTTAATATATCATGTGCCACAAATACTGTAGGTACGTACGTATTAGGTATTATAGTTGTTTATGAATTTTGATTTGAGGGTCAAAGAATTCTTTACATATATACATGACATTTATTGTAATACTCATACGCCCGTAGCATTGTATGTTTTATACGTTTTCATTATGACATTTCCATATTTTTGATATTCTCCTCGTGTGATAAATGCGAGCCTTGACTTTATGTACCGTAATAACTTAATTCACTCACTTGTACGAGTAAAACTTGTGAATGTTGAAATTTGCCAATTTTACATAAACATAATGGTTTATCCTTATTTTTAAATCAAAAATATGCCAGTAAATGAAATGGTATGATTCATATTGTTTCAAATTTCAATTTAAATATAGTCAAACTAGTTACTACGAGTATGTACATTTCATATATTCTACTTTACTGTGCCTTAAATAAATTATAATAAGTAATCGTTCATTACTAACATAGACTTTATATTAACACTCTAGATTTAGGGCCTAACAAACCATAGGTATCCTAAATTATTCCTAGGTACTAAGGTCACTGAAGAAGCAATTATCGAGCAATATATAAGAAAGATACATGGAAATATTTCCACATAAATAAACAAACAGTCATAATAATATAAAATAATAATAAGATTAAAAAATATTATAATGATCAATTTAAGAATAAAATTTTAAAAACATCTTGCTCAATAAAATTTAGTCCAAAAATACTTTTGAAAAATCTTATTGACTATGTTATTGTATTTCGAGGTATCACATAAGGTGATTGAACACGGCTGATATGACAGACAGCGCGACGCGGGTCGTCAACCCGCCGGCCGTGACCTACTCGCCAGAGCTCGGTTCGCGGAAACTGGCTGTTAACGGATTTAATGTTACTTTATTATATTGGCTAACTTTACAGTTAATTTACTTAATAATATTACTATTTTTAATCACTAGGTTCAGCCCGCGACTTTGCTTGCGTTGATAGAAATAGCACAGGTAGCTTTTTCATATTGTTTAAGTTCTAAACATTGTCCCCCATATAAAAACGAACATATTTCATCTTTTTACGATTGTAGAGCATTTGTTAACTGTTTTAATGACCCTCATGCCATTATATCCGGTTTGAACTTCCTACTTTATGGAGGTCGCGGATTTGAATCCTTGTAACTATTAGTCCTAAGCTTGCGGACTTGATGTATATCTCTGCCCATGAGCTTTTAAAGCCTCTATAAAAAATAACGCTTCGGTAACGCGTGACAGAAGAATAAACTAAAATCGTTCTTTTACATATACATATATTTTATGATATTAAGTAATAAACATAAATTACTTGCAGAACTTGCAAAGAACGATTTGTAACTCAATATTGCATTTAGAATGAGGGCATTATAGAATTGTTATTAGTTTTTACTTTCAAATTGCCAACAAAATTGTGTCAAAATATTTATATAATATCTGTCATCTGATGATGCCTTCTAAAATGTTAGAATATAATATTATCTACTATTATTTTAACTTCTCTATGTTAATTTTTCTTATAGCAGTTGAATCATTGTAAATTATAACCATTTTAAAATAGACACTCACGATTAACTTTACGACCATGACTTACTCAAGCTAAGTCGCTTTAAACAACCGCTAGTAGCTCTGACGACGACTCCATTGAATTAAAATTTTTAATATAATTATAATTATTTTACTCACCATAATAAAAAACGTTCAATTGTTAAATCGACGGCACAGTTTTCCTAAAATCTAATAAAATGATAACTCTTCCTCTATCTACCCACGTTAAACACAAACCACCTTATATTTTCCTTGACAAAGTTAAATATTATTATTATTTACTAAAACGTAGGTTAAAACGTGTTAAAATTGGGTTTCCTATATTTTTTACGGAATCACCTTGTCGTATGCGATCTTCTGTGTTATATACATAAATTCAAAATTTAATAGGCCATTCAAATAATACTTATAATATGTTTGTATGTATGTAATAAACCTACATGCTAAGATATGTATCTCTTCATGTCTACTCCCCGTTGATTAATCCCTCCACGACCGCGGACACCGCCGCGCCGGCGTGTCAGTTAACAAGAGGTTAGCTTAGAATTTTAATTAATTTCTTAGAAATTTACCTGGAGGTGTTAAGGGACATAAGTCAGAGATGATGCTTTATTTGACCAGGTTAGTAATATCAACCTCACCTCGTCCGAGCATCGAACCCGCAACCTTCATTAGAAGCAGACAGTGCAACTGCAATGTAACCTTAAGGTCACTTTTGTTTTTTTGATAAAATACAAGTCAATTTTCTTAAATTTTTATAGCATAATATAGACTATACAAGGCATGCAATGTGCGGGTCGACAACCTACTACTGACTGACTGACTGACCGTGACCTAACATAATGTTCGATATACAAAAATTATACGTTTTTGCTGTAGATACGGCGAAAATTGAATAAACAAAAATTAGTTATGATATAGTGCTATAATAATATGTACAATATATTTAACAATAACATTTATATGTTATATGTATGTATGTATGTTAAATATATCTGGAATGCGACTTTAACATTGAGAATCGAGCGGAAGACATTTTTAGCACTCTTACTATAAAATTAATTACAGAACCTACATATACGAGTAACTGTAACATGTTACTTGTCAGAGCAGTTTCCTTCTTAACTTAACCCATATTAATGAAATTATAAGTAAACATGTGAATATATTGTCTGCGTCAGCAGAAAGATTTAGGTACCTTTTTTTAAAACACACTTCATATTTTATAAGTCGGTATACTCTCTTTAAAAAGAGTATGAAGTTGAGAGGGAAATGACTTAAAGTTTTTCGTAAGACTTACTACGTACAGTAGTTTTTATTTAATTTTGTACATTGTAATGACTAAAAATATACATATATGTAGTATGATTACACTATTAACAAGACTCGCAGAAGCCGGAAAGTATGTATTTCAATAAAAGCAACTCTATTTATCCAAACCAAGGTACACTAGTGAATAGTGTTTGGATTCGACGGTAATCGAAGTCGCGGTCTGATCTCCAATTTCCTTATTACTGAGTAGAAGGCATTTTTTTATATATAGATACCAAGGGCTGCATTTCCAATATTATGCTAAAAAATCTTTGAAATTATTATTTAAAACTGAAATCGTGCATGCAATATCTCTTAGTATGCCCAAATTAGCTTTAACAACATAACAATATTTGTGTGACCTTCTATATGTTACTCGACAGAATGGTCATGGAAAATACCAAAACGGGGTAAGTGTTGTGTAATATGTATATACGAAGGACAGCTGGGATCAAGTAGTTATCTAAAGAAATGTTTTGTTTTGTTTGTCTCTTCCACTTTGTTTCTTTTATCTTTCAATGCGATTCGTTTTGATTACATATCACAATTCGATAATATTACGAGTAAAACAAAATCACTAAATATAATTGTTTCACCTTCAGTTATGGAGGTTTTCTCGATACAACACCACCAAAAAAGAATCTTAAAAAATCTAGAAGTCCGTTAATCCATTCATAAATAAAATATCACTAATATACCTATACAAAAAACATAACCTACACTCGTATTGAGTACCTCTTCTTTGGAAGTCGGTCAATTAATATAAAATTGAGAATTCAGAAAACGAATGTTTTGCATGAAACTGCAATGACTGCTAAGAATGTTAGAACACGCTATATATTTACAGGTAATTGATATTTAACGAACTGTGAATTGACGCCAGTTGTCTCATAATAACAATTGAAATCCAGGTATATGTGATTTGAATCTAAAACTAAAGTAATGGAAAGGTGATATGATAAGAACTGAGAAGTATTACGCATTAACTGCCTCGGTAGTCTGGTGTCTAGCATGTACGGCTGCAGTTCCGGAGGTTTTGGGTTCGAGTCTCGGATCGGGCCAAGTTTGATTACTGAATTTTTCTGTTAAAATATTCTCACTGCTAATTGGGAGTTGGGCGGTATTTCATCCCCGTTCTTAAGAGAGCACGTAAAGCCATTGGTCCTGCGCCTTAACTCTCACAGGTCGTGTTAAAGTATATCCATTTTACATTGAGAGTAAAAGGTATAGAGTGCACGTTGTGTCTATGCGTATACGCGCTGTTCTATAATATCTCCTGGGCATCTGGTAAGTCTCAGGGAGATTGGCCGCCGTGGCTGAAATCTATCCGGAGGTCATTATTATTATTACGTATTTGATATTTTTATCTTTCTTGTGTTAGCACACAAGAAAGGAGGTTAGGAGGTTCCTAAAACATGTATGTATGTATATACGATACACAGAACCCAAATGACTCATACGAATATTTGTTTCTTTTACCTCAACGATAAACATGAAAATAGCTGTACAATTGGCATTTTTGCTATTGTTTTTATTAGTGTTATTAATCTTGCTCCTTTGTCCACAGACGTGCGTCGATGATGTCGCCACGTCAACTCATGCGCAACTCGAACATGACGCAGAAGTGGCAGCGACGTGAGATATCTAACTTCGAATACCTCATGTTCCTCAATACAATTGCAGGTAAGATTTTAATGTTAAGGAAAAATATATATGGATACCGATTTTAAACCTCAAACCTAATGAGTAATATTTCAGAATACCTAGAACTGTTTAACCCAAAAACCAAAGTTTGTTTGAGGTAGTATTAGTAATCAATATAGAGGGTATATTGTAGTAATATTGCCCATTGTCTGTTCTATAAGCTCGTTCGTCATTCAGGACTTATGTGTCATCTCATCAACCCTCACTACCTAACTGCGCCACGCACGTCTTTTATAAAATATTACTAATTTAATATCATAAAAAGTCTATATCAGAAATCAGGAATTATTTACAAAAATTCAATTAAATATAATCAAAAAAATGAACATTTGACCCCACGAAAGATAGTATGAAGGGTGATGAAAATCATTGAATTAATAAATTAATTAATTCAATCCTACGGGAACCTCTTGTTGAAGTGAACATATTTTCAATCATGTCCATACCCATTCCCTATGATGCCGCCACATCAATCACTATGCGCTAATTTACGGTATTGAATGCAAACTATATAGAACAAGACAGGAAAATATGGTGTAATTTAACAATAATTGGATTCTTACATAATTATGTAGACGATGTATGTAAGTTACCTACTGTCTGCGCTCTCGTGGATTTTAAATTAGCTTTGCGTATGATACATCTCCTTTAATTAGAATCTCATTAAATACATATATATATTATATGGTCAGATATTAAATATCTGACCATCGACCAAAGTTGTAACGAGACTGCGTTATCTAAATACTGTTTTAGATTCACTCGAATATTTGATGTTTCCGGACTTTAGCATTCGAAACGTCGCGTCGGGAACCAAACATCTAAAATAATCCCCGAAAAGATCCGAAAACTTTAGTTTTATTTAAACTGCGCTATCTAATATGTTGGAAGGAACATATTTAGAAGGTTAATTTCATATATAGTAGAGTGAATAATTATAATCGTTTCCCAGTGCCATGAGTCATATATGAACATTTCGGTTGTTTAACTATTGTGTCTATTTTGCGGACAGTTAATCTGTTAATTATCTAAGGAATATGTATATATTTTGGAAACCTCCGCTCGTCCATAGTCATACTCATTTATTTTTTAAAGCTACCTATATGTATGTGTATGAACTAACTTGTTAGTAGTTTGTAAGGCAGTGGTAGCCCAGTGGTAACGCTCTCGCTTGGGAAACCGAGTGAAGCGGGTTCAAATCCCGGGTCTCGCACCTCTGATATTTTCATGTGCGAATCATTTCTAACATGATTACCACTTGCCTTACGGTGAAGGAAAACATCGTGAGGAAACCTGCATGTCTGAGGGAACTTAGCAAGTTTTCGAAAGACATGTGAAGTCCGCCAACCCGCACTTGGCCAGCGTGGTGGACTATGGCCTGATCCCCCTCGTATTGAAGGGAGGCCCGTGCCCAGCAGTGGGACGTTAAAAAGGGCTGAATACATACATACATACAACTTGTTAGTAACAACTTCATATAGTCATTGCGTTGTCATACTTGAAGCTAAAACCGCAAAATCCTGAACGTAAACCTTAACGAAATACTCGAAAGTGATGGCGTCACGGCCATATTCATAGAAGCAATTATAAAGTTATATGCCATTGGACTAGATTTGTTTTCCTTTAAATTATAAAGCCTTTAGAAGGCATATTACATATTATGTGTATGAAAACCGCAGCATTTATAAATTATTACTTGTTAGAAGGTAAGCCCTTACATTCGTTTTGCTTGCTCGTTTTTAACTGCCTCGGTGGTGTAGTGGCTGCACACCCGGAGGTCCTGGGTTCGAGTCCCGGGCCGGGCCAAGTTTAGTATTGAGTCTTTCTGTATAGTAAGCCACAGTAACAGCCCGGAGTTGGGAAAGTTGGCGGTGTTTCACCCCCGTGCTCAGAGAGCATGTAAAGCCGTCGGTCCTGCGCCTTAACTCTCACTGGTCGTATCGAGCAGTCATCCCACCGGAGTATGAGAGTGACAGGAATAGAGAGCGCACTTGTGTCTGCGCGTACACTTGTGCAATAAAATATCTCCTGCGCAGTTGGTTCGTCTCAATGAGATTGGCCGCCGTGGCCGGAATCGGTCAGGAGAACATCATCATCACATTCGTTTTGTTAATCATTTTAGTTATTCGTCTACTTCTATTGCTACTTATTGTTAGTCTATGCCCACAATATTATTTATTAATCCATGCTAATTTTATAAATGAGATAGTAACTTTGTCTGTCTGGCTGTTAGGTTTTCACGCCTAAAACTGACGCTGAACCAATATTAGTGATGAACTTAGAGAAGGACATAGGTAACTTTTTGTTGCGAAAATAAAACTTTAAGGGGGTGAAATGATAGTATGGATGGACTCTTAAAGTCCAACTGACCCCATAGTTTTATTGTTCGCAAAATCTTTTGATTCTGAAATTATACACGCACGAATTTATCTCAAATAAAATAAAAATAACAATAAAATATAAAAATACTCAAAAAAGTTAAGTTAGACTTAAAGAAATGTGTCCTATGTTTTTGCTGCTAGAAAGATAAATATGGGTTTTATGTATTCTAGCACATTATATTTATAGGAAATAAATACTGATATTTATCATGTAGTTTAATGGAAGCGAGTGTGGGAATATTATAAATACAAAAGACACCCGGGGTTGCGCTGGAGCAAAGCGAGAGTAAGTCAGTAGTATTATTATATAATAAAACCTAATTAACAGATAGTACACACTATCGTTGTAGATAAAAGTATGTTTACATGTCAATAATAATAACACTTCACGACGATATAACGTATGAAAGGTTTTTTTTAAATATGTAAATTAATAAGCTCGATAGAGTAACCTACATCTATACATATAATAAAATTGTAACTAAGCCGAATCTGTACAATAAATATTTTTTTGGAAAATCTTATTGAAATAGACATTATTATCGATACAGCGGCCGAATTTATAATTTTTAGAATTTTTGTCTGTCTGTCTATCTGTCTGTTACCGCATCACGGAAAAACCATTGGAGGGATTTTGATGAAATTTGGTATGATGATAGCTGGTTATCCGGGTCAAAATATAGGATACTTTTTATACCGCGGGAAAATATCTCATTTCTGAGAAAAAATACAAAAACTGCAATGTAAGAGTATACTAATATGTAAAACCTAAGAATTTGGTTTTTGGTCATCTGAACGCGGGCGGAGCCGCGGACAATGCTAGTATAATATATAATAAGATATATAATAAAAAGATACAGGTATAACATTTATAATAAGATATATGTAGATAAGATACGTAACAATAGATTTATAATAAGTGGAAAATTACAGTAAATGTAATTAATTTAAGTAAACTATATTATATAACACCAAGTGTAATAATTATTAAACTAAGATGCCATGAAATGATTGACAGGTGATATAATAATATCGTTTGTTGCATAAGCCTATTATTTTCTGTTAGAGTCATCGCACATTGTACATTTTTAATATACTGATAGTCCTTTTTTTCTAAGGTGTTACCTGTTTATAAAATATGTCTTATACGTACGATGTACATACATTTATACATATGTAATTAAAACGACAATGTGGCATAACACCATAGGTACATCGTCTATGTTGTTTTGTGCAAATTATAGTTTAGAAAAAAACAAATCTATCGGTTTCCTAGTAGGCACTAAAGAGTACCTACCGTTATATAAAAAAAGATTATAATAAACACTAATAAGAATCGTTTTAATTCAATTATCTCACTATAATTATTTAAATGAAGAAGCCTCTACCTTTCTATTTGTATATTAAAAACCAACTGTTATTATTGAACAATCTTTAGGTAAGTAAGTACATCTGTTAATAATATTTTAATATAAAAAAAACTTTAAAAAATAAATAAAAACCGGCTTCCAGACACTATAATTTTAATAAAAACTTAAAATTACCGACTTCCAGGCATTAAAATGTAAAATATAACTCAACGGGGGCTTTCATTTAGAATAGATACCTAATCAGATATTATCGAAGTCGGTGCCAGCCGATGCAAAGCAAATCTAATATATTTCGATACGTAAAACATATATTCACCTATTAGATACTCATATCTTAAAATATTGTCTAAAATATTGGCTGGCACATAATAAAATCATATTTAATAAAATGGTTAGGCTTCTTGGAATTACATAAAATCTATTGTGTAATTCATATGGCTTCATTGCAATTTTAAAATTAGCACCATTAATAAAACTATGAGTCTCCTTGTCTTTTTTTGTAAAGTAGGCTTTAACATTTTGCAAGAACGTAATTCTTGTACATTTATATTGCAACAATATAGAATTTTATCCTCCTTCGGTACAAGTTCAGTTTGTGTAGAATTTGATACTTTCTTAGATTTACGCGAATACTTTACATTTTAAATAAAACTATTTTTTCGGATTTTTTCGCGGATTTATTTTGATTTTTGGTTCCCGACGTTTCGTTCATTGTATTTTTGAAAGAATTTAATAATTTTATGGTTAAATACTGTCTGTAACCACTATATAATGAGATAACCTTTTGAGAAATAAAAAACTTAGTCTCTGCCGTAACCATGATTAAATCAAAGCATTCGAAATGTCGGGAGCGAAAAATTAGAATAAATCCGCGAAAAAATCCCAAATAATAGTTTCATTTATTTGTGTAGAATATTTTGAAGATATCTCTTATTCAAGTTACATATTGTGATGACATTTACGAAATGAAGAAAAACCTGGTAGTTACTCAACGACCGCTCAGATTTTTATCTTGTATGCATCGTTATATAAGAGTTTGTTATGACCATTTTATACGCCCATTATCTATTTATTGAATATGTAAATAGCCTGTACCTGTTAGCCTGCTTATGTCGCCAATAACCTTTTGACGTCATTCTATTGAACCTAATTTTCGTTCCATGACGATTCTTTATATCACTCATACAATAACTTTTCTTAAAACAAAACAAACCCGAACCAATGTTAA